CGGCGCGAGCATGATCCCGATACTCGAGAAACGACCAGATTGCCACCCCGCCAACCCCCCCCCCCCCCCAGAGAATTAATGATTTCTCAAACAAGTGCAAGAAAATTGCTCAAGAATGATCTACAACCATCTAGAGGGTGTGACTCTCGAGTGACACCGTTGCTCACGCATGTATATTCTACGTCATATCCTTCAGTATTCGTTTGTAATCTGTATATCACTTCGAATCGTGATAATACCTGATGAATATAGTTACCGATTAAAGTCATAGTTATAATTAGATATTAGGAATGTGTAAATTCGAATTACTTTTTAATACATTTCTGTCGTGAACTCTAAATTAAAGATGTAGTGCGCTCCCTAATTTTTGTATATGTTGCATAAGAGAATATAAATGATGACACGACGTGGCTTCGCAACACGAGTGCACTTCATGTTTCCAAAACTGAATAAACATCGAGCAAACTATCTCAAAAGTAAATACTAGGTTTTGTAAAGAATTAAATTTTCGATCAAACAAACTTACTTTTAGAGTCTCGAGAAACTAATAGTATCGACAAAAGTGTTGCAGTAATGGATCATTCTTTATGTGTCTCTCTTAATATGCGTCACAATAAGAGCAAGTAATTTATGTTACATTCACATGTCACGAGAAACCAGTAGTGCATCAATTTTTCCAACATAAAGCTACTTTTTTCCCGTTCTTTTATGTGTTTAAGTTACTGCATCAAAATGTAGGAAGGAGAAATAAAATTTAAAAAAAACCCAGTCGTTTTATTCTTTTATGCATGTGGGAATTTCCCCATTGCCAAAAATCAGTTACTTTTTTCTTTATATATATAAGATTTATTTCAATTGTGGCTTGTCTATTTCTTCGTGTATTGAAATATTGTCATTGCTTCAATGACTAACACACGAAATACAACACTCCAACAAATCTATAGCAATGAAATGGAGAATGAATGGCAAACCGATGAACAATTACAGGAGCTTCAATTTAGGAAAATGTCACTGGAAAATGATAAACAAATCGCCAAAGATGAGGAACAGGCAGTGCAATGCCTAATTGCAGAATTGAAACGAAATGCTGAAGAACACAAAGCAGAATTACGTCGACTTGATGACGAACTAAAAAGACTTAAAAATGATATTGAACGGCTTGAACAAGATATTAATGCGTTACACGACGAACAACAACGACTGGAGGATCAACGAAGACTACAACAGCAAGAACAAGATCGATTACTAGAACAATTACGAATCAACGAAGAAAAACTCGAACAACTTCAAGAAAAATTACATGAGCTCGAAGAACAAAAGATTCGTCTCGAAGAACAACGTGAACAACTTGAACAACAGCGACAACAGATAGAAAAAAATATCCAAGAACTCACTCAACAGATTCAACAAATAGAACATCAATTACAAGAATTACAAATGCGTTTAAATCAATTACAGCAAGAAATTCGCCGACTCGAACAGGATATTGAACGCTTAAAAGATGAAATACATCAACTTGGGGACCAATTAGTTGCATTCGAAAAGCAAAGAGCAGAAATCGAACAAAAAATGCGTGATAATGAGTTGAATCGTGATCGTCTTCAAGAAGAAGCAAATAAAATTGAAGATATGATTCGACGTATTGATCAACTAATCGATATGAAACGGAATCGAGAAAAAGAACTCCAAGAGCTCATGCGAAGGCTACAGACAGAAGCAAACGAAGCCAAACAACGAGTAGCTCAAGCTACACAAGAGCTCAATGCTGCTGAACAAAAGGTCAAGTCACTTCAAGCGATGACTGAACGTCTTCAAAATGAATTGGACATTCTTCAGCAGACGCTTACTGAAGGAGAACAACTCGTTCATCAACTGTTAGGACAACGACATCAACTGGTGTAAATAAAACTTTATGTTAGAAAGTCTAGATTAAACTATTTTTATATTTAGAAATAATATCCAAATAAAAAGACGCGAACGAAAACAACTTGATCAAGAAAAACAGGATAAAAACCAGCAACTCGAGCGCAAGAATCTTGAATTAAATCAAGCCATTCAACAACATGAAGCACTTACTCAACAAATTAATACTCTTCAAAAAGAATTGAAAAACCTGCAAGAAACTCTAAATCGACTAAATAATGAGCGTCAACAATGTGCAACACAATGGCAACAAGAGAAACAAATTCAACAACAACTCGAACAAGAACTACGTGCTGAAGAGCAACGACAACGAGAAGTTGAAAAAGAAGTTCAAGAGCAAGAACAACTCGTAAGAGCAGCCGAGCAAGCTTTGCGTGAGAGTGAATCTCGAGAAGCAGCTGCTCGTGCCGCTGAACAACAAGCTCAAGCTGACGAAGCTCAGGCCCAGGCCAATCTTGAAAGTGCTGCAGTCGAATTGCAGGCAGCAGAAACCGAATTACAATCGGCATCCGCTCCATCTGACGAAAATCAAAATCAAGCTGCCATTGCTGCCGCTCAAGCTCATGTAGCACAATGCCGAAGCATGGTTAGTCAGTGTCAGACTGTTCTGCAAGAACGTACACGAATCCATCAACTAAAACAACGAGAACATATTGCTGCTCAAGAAAAAACAGCGCAAAGTCGAGTACAACTTCAACAAGCTCAACAAACTTTACAAACAAAGCAACAACAATTCGAAACTCAAAAGCAAAAAGTCATACAAAGTAGAAATAAAGTCGAAAAACAAAAAGTCACGGTCAATCAAATTCAAAATAAACTAGATCAATTGCAAAAAGAATGTCAACAAGTCGATCAACAGGTCAAAAGTAAGGATCAAGCAGTACGAAAGATACAATCTCAACTTGAACGTCAAAATCAAACGATTCAAGTAATCAAAAGTGATGTTCAAGAACTAAAACAATTGATTACACAATTCAGACAAAGAATTCAACAAACAGACACCGAAATAGATAAACTAGAACAGAAGACACATGACATCGATCAAAAATATACAGCTACATTAGCTGAAAATGCAAGAACTATGGCAAAGCAAAAGAATAAACTTGTTGAACAACAACATAATGAACAAAATATTCGACAACAAATGGTTATTATTCAAGAGAAAAAATCTCAAATGCAACGAGCTCAGAATCAACAGGATAATGTTAATGCTAACATTGCTCAAATCAGTAGATCTATACAAGAACTTGAAAATGAAAAAATTGAACAGCAACGATTATTAAGAACAGCTCAACAACAACAACAAAAGATCGAAGTAGAACATACTCGAATAGAAGCTAAATTGGCGGCACAAGAACGAGAAAAACAACAGTGTGAAAATGATATTCGTCGTCTGAATCGTGATGTCGAACAACGACGCAGTACTCTTGACGAAAAACAACAAAGTATGAGTGCTTTACAATCACAAATCGATCTCAAACAATGGGAATTATCTTTCAGACGACAGCAACGTACAGAGCGTCAACAACAATTGGCAACTGTACAAACAGCTTTAACTGATATTCGCCAAAAGATGACTGCACTTGATGCACGTAAGCGTGTACTGGATCGTGATATTCAACAACAAACAGTACGTAAACAGGAAAGTGAACGGCTCGTACAACAAAACGAAAATGATTTACGTACTATTGAGCGAGATTTAGAACGAGTGACGCGATCATTGAATGACAAACAACGTGTGCGAGATAAACTTAATCAAAACTGTGAAAATTTAGCATTTCAAGCTAATAGTCGTCGAGCAGCTCAGATTGAAAATGATCGGCAATTAGCTGCAGCAAACAATCGAGTTTTTTCTTGCCGTAAAAACATCAAGGAAATCGCACTAAATATTGGTGCCGTAGAGAAAGATATCAAATCAAAGCAAGTTATGTCTTTGCCGTCTAACTCATATATCAACGACAAAAATAGCCAAGAAGAAGACGAACAACATTATAACCAGCGAAATTATCAATACGCTCAGTCAACAGTAAGTTATCTATACGAGACTTTTAACTATCAAAAAAATCCTTTTTCATATTTAGCGCAAATAATTATTTCCACTCGAACAACATCAAATAGCATTTACACAGACATTGTTTTGAAGTTTAAACTTGATATTACTTTTCTATTGTACACTGTCATATTAATAAATAATTTGTATGACGGTGTGGATTTTGGCACTAGTAAGGATGGATGAGTGTTAAGTGTCACGCACCAATGCCCAATTACACTCGCATCCTTCAGTCAATTTTGTACGAGTTCGATAACTGTTTGACTACGTTATTGCAGTAATCCCCTTATAGCTCGATGGATAATTTTATTCATACTTGCATTCTAGATACTATTTCATAAAAGTACACTTGTCTTGCGTGATTTGATGATTATCATGAATGTAATTTTTGAACAATGAGTCTATTCAACAAAATAAATGTCATTGCACCATGTCTGACGGTATTCTTTGGCGTGTTGACTCTATTCACTACAAATAAAAGACAATTTTTATGAACGGTAACTGCATCTCATTGTCGAAGCAAAAGTCAACTTATTCATATGACAACTTCTATTTTAATCATGCTGCTGGCATGCATAATATCTTTGATGTTAAAGGTACCGATATACTAGAAGGCATGAGTACTTTGTCTGTTTTGTCTTCCATTGCTATTAAATTTCTGCTCTAGTTTTTTTCTGAACTATAAGAGAACATCAACATAGAAAAGAGGCCATTTTCTTTAGAAGTCTCCTATTATCAAAATACTCCCTATGAGCGAGTATGTGATACTATGAGGCTTAACATTTCAATAATAATTGAACTCGTCTAGTTTTATTTACTGCGAAAATACTCGACTTCAATCTCACAAAATTTAAGAAAAAGCGAATGTTTTTTTTTGTTCTTATAAGTACAATTCCTAGAAAAATCTAAAATTAAAACGTTTAAATTCATTCATATGTACGCTTGAAAATCTTTTCGCTTGATATTTCGGACAAATTTCAGACTATTGTAGCATCAGTGAGCACCTTTTTTTGAGTATTTAGAACTCTGAGACATCAGATTTACAACATTTCGTTAAAACCGTTGCTTTCATAAAAATATTTCATCAGTAAGCCATCTTAAATTGACCAGAGCTTAGTCATCGTTTATATAGACTATCTCATATATTGATAAGCGACTTTAGGCATATTGGTTGAAAATAATGTTTTGATTCTAATGAATGAAAGAGCATCAGTCAATGTGATCATGTTTACAATATAGATAAGAAGCTAATTGTGTGAAATGAATTTGACAAAAAAATTGAGTATGAGAACTACGCCAGTTGAATGGATATGGTAGTTTATTCTCACTAGACATGACCAAGAGATAAATAAATTTGTTAGGAAAGTCTAAAGCTCAGAAAGCATAGATGCCACTACCGAAACTGTTCGTGATAGTGCAACATCATGGTTAATCGAGTTCTCGAACTGCATTTTTTATCCTTCTTTTACATGAATTAATAAACTAAATGAATGCATGTTAGACTACATTATACACAATACATTGCATCACTTCTACGTATATCTTCAATTCTGCAAATCGTTTATACAGTTCCAACAATTCCTTACTCGAATAGAAGCTAAATTGGCGGCACAAGAACGAGAAAAACAACAGTGTGAAAATGATATTCGTCGTCTG